GAAGCACAGTCTCGTCTTTCCCTTCGGTACATATGAACTTGACGAGCCTCCGCTCGATTTGGATCATACATATTATCAGGGAAGATGTGATAGGTGTAAGCTTTCCTCAACAAATCCTTCAGGAAAGTTGAATGTGTCTGCTTGTTCTCTTTATTTGACCCTTTCTGTAGACTGTTGCAGATTCAGGCTGACTCGTTTAGGCTGACTCTTTCCTCCTCTTAATAAAAAAAAAGAATAATTATTCACGAGTGTTATAACTAAGGTTGTTAAAACTCTACTGGCCCACCAGTTATACCAGGTCCGACCAAATTCATGCGCTAAAATGGTTTTCACAAAGTCAGCGGTCAGATTGTTGGAAGGGGGGAGGGGGAGAGAGGGAAAAGGATGGTGGATGGGTATTGAGATATGTAGTTTTTTTATGGAATGTAAATTTTTAATAGATATAGGCCAGGTACATTCCATTTAAATCATTAAAATTTTTATTATCTTATATGAATATCTATCTATATCTATCTATCTATACATAATATTATGGCAATTCAAAATTAAATTTTTGCCACATAAGCACTTGGAGAGATCTCAAGTTGCCAAGATGGACAATTTTTTTACCAAAAAAATAGTTATTGACCTATTTATGGAGTTGTCCCTCTCTCTTCATTTAATATTTAATTCTCTTTTATCCAATAATTATTTTGCTTTTTTTTTGTATTATATCTATAAATAATATATGGAGAGAAATGTTATCAAACCGGTTTAGCAAGTGGAATGGTTTTACCAGTGGTATAACCGGTTTGTGTCGTTTCATGCCGGTTAATAAAATATATGTAGAAATATAAAAAATCATTAATATCAAATGAATTTAATCATATATAAACCATATTTGAAGACAATTTACGTACAATTCATATTGATATTTGAATAAAATATGATATTTTAAATAAAATTACATGTACTCATACTTAAATTCACTAAAACTACGTATTTTACTAAGAAATTCGTAAAACGATCATACCGTTCATACCGATGGTGTCATGTCGATTTCATGACCTATACCGGTTGAATGGTTCAACCGGTGACATGCCGACCGACGTGACAATCATGATGGAGAGTGACATATATCACATTTTGGTTTTACATTATATCGATGTACGCAACAATATACTAATGTTCGTAGAGTGACATATATATCACACTTTTTAAACCAAAAAAATATATGATTAAAGATTACTATGTAAATTTCTGCTCATTTTTACTAAAACTTAATAATAATTTACATTTTATTGAATAATTTAAACAAACACACAAAAATAATAATATTTTGTCGATAATGTCTGAAAGAAACTTGACAAATAAATAATAGTTATTTATTAAAAAAGCTTTTTATTCATTCTGATCAAGTGAAAACATATAAATCGTATGTGCAGTATTTATAATGTATCCTAAGTTCACATTACTAATATTTTCTCTAGGTCATGTTGATTGAGCAAGCTCTATTGAGGTCTTACATCTTATGCTAAGAAATTTTCTTTTCAGACTTGGAGTTATTTATTGATAAAGATTATAAATTGAAGTTTCCAAAATGACTTGAGTATAATAGTTGATGAACTTTGACTGAGACACGAGATCACTTGAAAAATGAAATGTGTGAAATTTAGAGAAATCTTTGTTAAGGATGTACGTTAAACATCACATTTCATGCTAAGAAAAATCTAAATTCGAAGATTGAGGTAATAAATAAACATTAATATTTTACTTCACATATAAAACAAAAAATATTTATAGTTACAACAGTGTAAACCGAGCTATTGGGTCAAAAGAAGAATATTTAATAAATATGAGTTTAGTAAGAAAATTGTAACAAGTCTATATAGTTGTGAGTCTGTGATTTCATACCAAATTTTGGCAATAACAAAAAAATTGATATCATGTTCCACCCAAGGAGCTGAGTTCAAAGGTATTAATTAGTGTTGAAAGTAAAATAAACTCTATATATATATATATATATATATATATATATGGTGGCTTCTATGGTACCCCGGATGAAATCCGGGGTACCGCATACCTCGAGTATGGAAACTCTATCTAGACCTCGAATTACCAGGATTTTTGTGTATGATATTATACCCTAACCCTTAATGAGTGAACCCTAGGTCATAATTATCTAAATCATAATCTATAAACCCTAAAATGGTGCATTTCTTTTTGTGCCTATATTTGGATGAATCATAACCGTCGATTATTATTTCTAATTAAATTGATCTTGGAGTATAATATTGGGAGAGTTAACACCTAGATTTTGATCTTTAAGTGTTAGAGTATAGTATCATGTCCGAAAGATCGGTCAATTCAAGGTCTAGATAGTGTTTTCATACTCAAGGTATACAGTACCCCAGATTTCACCCAGGGTACCGTAGAACTCGCCATATATATATATATATATATGTTTAGATATTAACAATATATGTGTCTACAATACATCCAATAATTTAAATACATGTGAAAAGCCACAATGTTTGTATGAACTTTTAACTTTTGCAATTATAAGTGAATTATTCAAGGAATACATAATTTTGAATGCACCTGAAATATTTGTCTGTCGTATACACAATCTACCAATTATTAATATAAGTAATGAAATATTTGTTCTAGAACAAACATCAAATATAAAGAAATTTTAGTGAATGAACATTCAAATAGTTGAAAAATTATACATCGAAGGAACATGTTAAGATGAGAACCTTCGATAGTGTATATGAATCCTTGGATTCAGATTCTAAACAAACATCTAGACAAAAGGCATGGGTTGACGGTTTGTACAAAGTTAAAATATTAGCAATTGTAATAAGTTGCTATACAAAGACTTCATGAACATCAACAATAAAAATGAGTGAGGTTTAGAGAATTTAATCATTATAAGGGATACGTTCTGTGTCAAATTGCAATTGGGATAAACATAATTTATCGAGTAATCAAGTATCTTTTTCCAATAATTTGAACTCTGATTAATTGGCTGAGAGTTCGTACAAACTCGAGAATCATGAATTGATATATGTTGTATAAGATATTAAATTTGAGCGTCTTGGTGGAAAAAAATTTATATACGATCCTAAATGGGACGTAATAAACCTTTACGACATGATTTATGATCAGAGAATAAAAACATTACAAGCGAGTGTGATAACTATTAAATAATATTCGATATAGGCATACCGCATATTTACTTATGAAGCGAGAGCAGGAAATGTATACAAGATCCAAAAATTTCAAACATGTAGATAAGTTAACTAATATAAATAATAAAATGTAGATAAGTTAACTAATATAAATAATAAAATGAACTTCTCCGGCCAACTGGCCGGGTAAAAAACTAGTATATATATATATATAGAAAAAGTGTAAAACGGCTCAAACAAGTTGGACTCAATTAAACCATTAAAACATAAGGTAACACAACCGAGTTGGTCGGGAGTGTGGTTTTCAGACTTGAGATGTTTGAGGTCTCAGGTTCAAACCCTGCTACACCACTTGGTGTTCCCGGAGGCACCGCGTTGTTACAGGCATCGAGCGCAACAAGTTGGACTCAATTAAACCATTAAAACATAAGGTAACACAACCGAGTTGGTCGGGAGTGTGGTTTTCAGACTTGAGATGTTTGAGGTCTCAGGTTCAAACCCTGCTACACCACTTGGTGTTCCCGGAGGCACCGCGTTGTTACAGGCGTCGAGCGCGAGATGCCTGCTCCTTTTCGATTCTTCGATCCCACCTGAAAACCCTAACTCTCCCTTTTGCTAAGAACAAGGAAGACCAAAATGTAAACGTAGACAATTGCAAAACAAATATAACACAACAGAAAATGATGAATGCAGACTGAGCAGGCTTATAGCTATTGGGCCTGTTTACTCGAGCCCAGCTTCACACTGATTCACGGTTTGGCCTGCTGTTACTTATTGCTGCTTTTCACTCAGTGGTGGGTTTTAACTCCAAACACATGTACTCTCTTTTCACCCCTGCAGATTCAATTCCCCTGTTCTTCAACACAACTAAACACAGCAGAAACCAGAGTAAGAACTGAAGACAGGAAGATAATGAACGAAATCGACAAAGGGACTTTTACGTGGTTTCTAGAGCTGAGTGAAAATGAAATGCAACTCTGACTACTCCATGGACGAGAGATCACTGATTTGTGATTCTCACCAATTCACTATGATTATTTGCTTTGATGCTCCGATTCAGAGTTATCCTCTTAGGCTAGATTAACCAACCACTCCAGCAAGGCTAATCAGAACACGCTCCTACTTCTCACCACCTCAGCTATCCAGCTATTGTGTCTTCCAACACACCCTCTAATACACAATCACTCCTGATCTTGAATTAGAGCTACTTTTCTTATCTATCGTCACTCACAAACTCCTTTGTGCTCTAGGACGAGTTGATCTCCAAAAAGTTTCTCCTCTTGCTCTTCTTTGTGCCTTTTGTACTTCCCTGCAGCTAACCGTTGATCTTCAGACAAGGTAATCCTCCCTTCATTTGAATTCCTTTCCTTAATTGCTTTCCTTGAGATGATTCTGTTGCTGTATCAAATCCACCACCCTTGCATTTGATAATTCTTTCCAAATGCAGATTCTTGATGTCCATGGCTTCCTTTTCTTCCTCTATGGACAATGACTTGATGCCCACGGCTTCCTTGTTCTTCCTCTGTGGTCGATGACTGGCTTGCTTACAACATTCTCCCCCTAAACCAGTCAATGATCCCTTCAGCTGCACATGTAGTTCCTGCACACACTTTAGCACACAATTACGTGCAGACTGCTCCCAACACATTTAACAAACTAGATCAAGACAAACGCTGATTTATTTAAATAGAGAGTTTATTTATTAGATAATCAAAACTAATACTAAAATCATTCAGACACAAGGACTAGCACCAAGAACATTCAAACACAGGCTCAGACAGACAGAGCTTTATTGGAAAAATCAACCGACTCTAAGACTCACTCTTCTAGACTCCTTCTACTTTATTCAAAACAGGACAGGAAACAAAATTTCCTAAACTAACTCCCCCTAAGAATGATATTCATCCTAGAACCCATATTCTGGTGAAGGGACATAATTAGAGATGGCATCTTCATCTTTTTGCATCTGATTCTCACTACTGCTAGCTTCCCCCTCCTACCTGAACATGGCTCGAATAGCCTCCAAGGGATGCACCATTGGTTGTTTACCATTTTCCCTTACCATCCCAACAAAATCTATTATGTCTGGAGCTTCTTTAGCCTCATCCTCTCCCAGTTCTGCAAGACTGAGTCCATCCTCATGTGGAGGAACTGCATGACCAGCTGCTTCTCCCCCTGGAGCATTGACCAGCGGGCGACGACGTCCAACAGAAGCATCTACCTTGCGAATCACAAACTGAGCTCGAAGAGAGCTAAGCAGATCCACACGAGCCACTTTGAAACGCAAATCCAAGCCCAAAGCCAGTAGGATTTGAGTGATCTGAGGCGCAAATGGAAGCTCTCCATCATAGTTGTCATCATGATAATTCAACATGTGATTAAACACAAGATGTGGATAACTAATGACTCGATTCTCCTTAGCACTAGCAAGAATCCACAAATCCGAGGGATAGATTGTAGTGAGTCAATGCGATCGAGGTAGAAAGAACCTAGTGATGTAGAAGTGTAAGACTTTGAGATCATCAGGAAGTCTCCCAGAGTGGAAGTCAGAGGGATAATGGCGACCAGTATCTCGAGTATACAACCGCAGAGCATCACTGATAAACCGTTAATTGCACATGTTTTTCCCTTATTCTTGAGCCGTTTGAGATGTTGATTCTCGTGTTTTAGGCCGATTTCACGCTAGGTTGTGCTTGTTTGTGATATTTCAGGTCCTAGTACGTGAATGAAGGTTTGGGAACGAGTTCGGGGTCGATTGGGCGAAGATTGAACGTGTGGCGAGTCGCTGAGGAAGCCACACGGGCACACATAAAACCCACACGGCCGTGTCAGTAACCAATGTGGCCGTGTGGGATTGTGCGAGCCTTCACACGGGCAGACTGGGCATGCCACACGGTCGTGTGTCCCTGGCCGTGTAGGTAGCCTGAAGTCCAATTAATCGAAACTCGGCGTTTTGACTCTCACACGGGCATCTGGGTAAGCCACACGGCCGTGTGGCCTGCCCGTGTGAGTCGAGAATTCTGGTTTTAACCCAATTTCGAGCCACAAGTGAGAGAATCGACTTTTCAGAGCAAAAACAGAGCCCTAGAGAGAGAAAGTGCGAAGAACACATCCTAGAAGCGATCTTGGAGCTGAGTTTCGTCAAATCGAGCTTGGAGATCATCATAGGAGTGGAAATCATCATTCCAGAGCAGATTCTTCCCATTGTTATGAGTATGAATGCTTTGTATTCTATTTTTCTCTCTCTCTCTCTCTATGGAGTAGAACCCTTCTCTCACTTGGGTATGAAGAACCCTAGTTCCATGTGTTAAGGATTTTATTGTAATGACTTGGGATGATTATAATGTTTGGTTTTAATCGAATGATGCATGTTTCATTGAATTGATTGAAGTCTGATCAGCTTTTCTTGATTTCTGCTGCAACCTGAGATAGATAGAATCTGATTAGGTTGTTAGAGCTTCTTCATTCGGTAGTAGGAGATTGGCTATACGAGAGTTAGTCAGTCTACTGCTATGTACTGAAATCCAATTCCAGTAGGAGAGTTCTGTGCTTATTGCTTCAGCTTTCTATCTCGGTGAAGACTAGCCGTCTGCCGGGTAGTTAGACTGAGAGGGCTTGGTTTGTTTAAGAGATTCCAAGCTACTATCGGATCTTCCACAGTCTAATCAACAGTAAATCAACCCAGGGTAATTACAACTGAGACCTAACTAAGGAGCTAGGGGGACTCATTCCCGAGTGACTCTTCCTTTGCTTAAGAAAACCGAACTCATCCCTGCTTTCTTTCTGCTTTCAGTTAAGACCAAATTCAATCGACTTAGTTTGCTAGATAATAGATAATCACGGAGTAGGCAGTAGATCTAGACCCCGGGTTGATATTTAGAACTTGCCACTTTACTGCATTCCCGGACTGCGATTACACTTTGTCGCAGTTTGGTGTTGTGTGTTGGCGTGTCAAGTTTTTGGCGCCATGTGAAGGCTCGGTAAAAGCCACATGGGCAGCCTGGGGAGCCACACGGCAGTGTGGCCTCTGCCGGTGCAGCTTGCCTAGTTGCCCACTAATCGAAACGCTGCGTTTGGACACTCACACGGGCAGCTTGGAAAGTCACACGGCCGTGTGGCCTGGCCGTATGAGTCGGGAATTTCTGGTTTTAAGCCAATTTCGAGCCAAAGGAGAGAGAGAGCTGGGTTTTGGTTCCCAAACACCCAAGGGACGAACCCTAGAGAGAGAGAGAGAGAGAGCGATTTGGGAACATTCTTGGAGCTATTTTGGAGGATTTCTTCAACATTGGAGCTCGGGAATCAAGCTTGGGGATGGAGATTGAAGATCTAGATCAGATTTCTGCAGTATCTCTCTTCTCTATGGAGTAACTTCCCTTCACTTAGGTTTTGAGGAACCATAGTTTCATGTGTTAGGATCTTTCTTGTATGAAGTTTTGGATGCTATATTGTTTGATTATAATCGATTGAGGCATGATTTATAGGGTCAATTGAAGCCTGATCATCTTCTCTTGATTTCTGCTTTAACCTATGATTGATAGAATCTGATTAGGTTAAGAGAGCTTCCTTGATTGATAGTGGTGAATTGGTTGTGCGAGAGTCAATCAATTCACTGCTTTGTACTGGAATTCATTCCAGTAGTGGAGATCTGTGTGAATCGCCTTAGGAGTCTATCCCGGTGAAGGCTAATCGCCTGCCGGGTATTCTGTCTAAGAGGGCTTGGTCAGCTTAAGAGATTCCAAGCTAATTTAGGATCTTCCGCAGTTTAATCAATAGTAGATCAACCAAAGGTAATTGCAACTTGGACCTAATTGAGGAGCTAGGGGTAATCATACCTAAGTGAGTTCCTGACTTGTAATTAGTAGAGTAGTTAGTAGAGTAGTTTAGTAAATCAATCCTTAATCTAGTTTGCTAGATAATGAACTGAAGCTGAGTAATAGTACATCTAGAGACCCGTGGATTCTATATTTATTACTTGTGCCACTATACTACAGTCCCTTTCATTGGTTACACTTGGCCATTGTTAGGTGTTGTGTCGTAGCGAGTCAAGTTTTTGGCGCCGTTGCCAGGGCGAGGCTGGTATGGCTGCCTCAGGTTTGGAAAGCTAGTGGCAGGAGCCTGGAAGCCAGATGGCTTCGGATTGCTGTTACCACTCCAGGAGAAGTTTGGATGCTGGCGCCATCCCTCATTGTAAGTGTTATTGTATGGGTCATTGCGCCGAACATTGTTGATGAAGTTCACTTGCTCTTGGGGTGTACTAGACTCACGCATGGCCTGGAAGTCCTCCACGGTATGATGGGTGCTCTCGCACCACTGGCAGAGCATCGCCTGCTGCTGTCATGTACCTGCAATCATCCCAGAACGATCGAGGACTGAAACTAGCTTCGATACCACCTGCTGGCAAAGTCCTACACTCCAGCCTCAGACAGTGCCAGCGCCATCACCAGGAGAGCCATGTACTTCATCCAGTCCATGCGCCAGGGGGATCATCTTCTCCACTTGGGTTCTGTGGTGGCAAGAACCTTTGACAAGAGTACTTCAGAGCTGAAGAGCCTCCACTGCACTCCCCTCATCACACGCCTGGCCACCTACTTCCAGATATCACTGCAGGGGTGCACTGAGCAGGGGGTCACTAGTGTCTTTGGTGAATATACGATCTCTCGCATGCACCTGCTTCGAGAAGAGCAAGGATTCAAGTGGATCGAGGGGTTTCCTCAACCTCAGATCCCAACGGAAGACCAGCCGATGGTTCCTGCGGATGCGGCTGATGAGGATGTCCACCCCGAGGATGTGGATGACGCTGCTGCTGCCCGCCCCACCACCTTCGAGTGCGGGGGTGGCAGTTCCACTTTACCTGGTCAGGACTACTTTACTCACTAGTTCGAGCAGTTGTGTCTCCAGAATCAGCAGCTCTACAACCATCAGCTCTAGTTCCAGCAGCAGTATTCGACTCACCATGCCGAGTACCAGAACCGGATGGTTGCTTATGATGAGTGTCTTGATCGGATGGAGACCTAGCAGGGGGTGACCCTGGCTCGCATCGAGAGGGAGCAGGCCCGATCTTGGCGCATGCAGGAGGTCCAGCAGCACCTGCTCCAGCTACTACCGGGCGAGCAACCAGTCTGGAGGACTCCCTAGGAGGACTCTCCACTTCCACCTCCACCAGCTGATGATGATGATGCCTTCATGAATGACATCGATATGGACAACCTTGGCGACGAGTAGGCTGTACTTGTCGCCCCTCAGTGTGTGTTTTTGTTTTAGACTTTTTATGTTTGCTCCATGTGTTTGAGGAGCTTGAACTGAGTCTGTCGTTTGGTTTTATCATTTTTCTTTCTTTGTGGATTGTTTATTTTGTTGCCATCTGGGCCAACTCTGATCCCTAACGCACAGTGTGCTAGTGTGTTCTTGATGTTCCCTTAGTGCAGAACTATCCGTTCGTTCCATATGTCCCCCGCTGACTGGTCCACTTCCAGTCTTCGGCAGTATTTCAATCCGGTAACATCGTTCACCTTCTCTTCCCCTCTGCTCTATTGAGGGAAATGTCGTGCTTAAGTGTGGGGGGTGCTTATCTATTGTTAACTGCTAGATAAGTTTGTGTGCTTGGAGCCTAGTCCGCTGTCTAAATCTAGAGATTTGAGGGCTCCAAGTACGGCTGTTTGATCATATTGGCACTGTGTTTTGATTGGTGAATTGAATGGTTTTCGGATTAATGCATGACAACTGGATGGTGACTAGGACAACCTATAATGATGACTAAGACGTGCAGTAGAGTTGTGTAGGGGTTCAGTTTTTCAACTGTTTACTTACCAACTGTGACTTGGATGGATCACTTTTTCTTGACAGTCGTTTATGCATCTAGTTCAGGGAATCAGAATGAGAGATAGAGCATATAGGTAGCCATGTGAGATTTGAGCCTGCTCGTTTCTTTCTTGTGCGATAGTTCCCTCTTCCATGATGTGTAGCATTCACGTTGTCATTAGCTAAAATGATGGAGGCATAAGATTAGCCCACGACCAAATTGATTGTCCTGGTGTGTCATACCCCCTAGTCAGCCCCTTTGAGCCGTGTATTACCCTTTCTTTCGGTCTACAATGGAAAATTACCCTTTTGCATCTCTTAGAAGGTTCTACAGAGTGGTTCTTACATGTACATGTTCTCTGCTGTTTCTGCTAAATATAATGTGAGAGTTGGAGGTAGTTCTTAAAAAGTTGGGGCAACTGTGTTTGAAAAATGTGCAGAGGTGGTTGATGCTCTAAAACACAACACCTAACAATGGCCAAGTGTAACCAATGAAAGGGACTGCAGTATAGTGGCACAAGTAATAAATATCGAATCCACGGGTCTCTAGAGTTACTATTACTCAGCTTCAGTTCATTATCTAGCAAACTAGATTAAGGGTTGATTAACTAAACTACTCTACTAACTCAACTAAGTAAAACTACTAATTACAGTTTGGGAACTCACTTAGGTATGATT